TGTGTGTGTGTGTGTGTGTGTGTGTGTGTGTGCCTCGACTCCAACACAACAAACTGATCTTTGTTGTTCTTTGTATCATTTATGACGTGTGTGCGTGTGTCAAAGGGGCGGGGTTTGTTATGTGTGTGGGCGGGGTGTTAACGGCACGGACCAATCCTAGGAGTCGCTCTCCTCTCCTCTCGCCTCTCATTGGTCGCGGTGCGTCTCTGTGTCACGCCGATGTCGCTCGGCTCTCCAGCGGCTAGCTAGCTGCTAATGTCGGTGCTGGCTGATTTCCTCCTGTTTCCTCCTCAGCGCCGCCTCCATTGTCAAATATCACACAGCGTGAAGCTGCGGCTGAGCATCCTGCCGCTGACGGTAAGTTTATCTCCCAGCGGAGACACTGACGGTCAACAACACGCTGCTATTTAGCTGTTAGTAGTAGCAAGCTAGCCAGGTATCATTCCTACGTGCTAGCGAACAATAACAGAGCTAGCTTGAAAAAAGAGACAATAACAGAGTCGCTGCAGAAAACAATGCTGGTTTAACTCACTCCTGGATTAGTTTTTTTTAGGCTAGCCTCGAGATGTCCGACCACTAGCTCTAGCAGGTTAGCCCACGTTAGCGCATCCAGTGCTGTGTTTTCATGGCAACTCAGTGGGTGATGCTCCTGTTCTCGTGTCTCTTTTTTTCTGCCAATATAAACAAGTCGAATAGGATTTATGGCGCCTTTGCTATTAAAACCTCAGTTAATGGAGCCTCGTTGTTTGGACTAAGATCTTGTGAAAGTGTTGCTCTGATGAAGAGATCCAGTATTTTCACACATAATTGATGGAGAGATAATCGCTGTCATTACTTGTATAAGGCTTTTCACACGTTTGTCCTGTCCTAAATAAATGTCTTTAAAATTGTTCTAATTATAGTGTTATAGCAGTAAGAGCTGTCATTTGCTCTGGGTTAAAAGTTAATCTCAGAAATTAAGTAGTTGAACGTGTGTGGCAGTTCAAAGCTTGTATTAGCTGCTACTGGTTTAATTCCACTGGATGTGTTGCACATGAGAGGCACAGACTGGAGCTGCTCCACATTGTTAATGTGTTGGGTTCTGAACTGCATCTCCACTGTGTTTGATAAAAATCGATCAATCAAATTATATATGCATAGTGCATATTCACAAATCTCAATTTGGCTCAAGGTGCAACATCCTATACTTAACCCTCAGCAAGAGACAGGAAGAACGACCCAAATAACATTTAAAAGGGGCAACGATGTAGAAAACATCAGAGATTTGCAAGTGAGTGATCCCTTTTCCCAGAAAGCAGAAGTGCAATATAGTAATAGAGCGTGTAACGGAGCACATCAACAAATTAACATTTTTACAACACTTATGAGAAATGTCTAACATCAATATTGGGAGGTATATCAATGTTTTAAGTATGTATACACAATAAAATGCCTGGCAGAGATGAAGGGAGCAGCTATGACAATTATAATGATAGCAGTCAGTGAGAGTAGTACTGTATATGTGAGTAGCATATTGCATATCTAAGCAATCTAGTTGTAATCATAATCCACGTCCAGCTGCCACAGTTCCACGAAGTGGCCGCAGCCGCTGTATCTGTAACTATAAAGCATGAGGACTCCAGGGA